TTCACCGAGGGAATAGATGGAGGTCATCGCTTCCTCAAATGCCCGCGAGCATGGGTAATTGTTATTACTATTTGTTTCTTCAATATGTTCCTCTTCTATATAACTTACATGACATACTTATTGTAGTCTTCCATGGCTGAAGAAAACTGTTTTCACTAGGTGGGTCGATCCTCGACCTATTTATCCGCATGCGGAGTACATCTACTACCTGTAGGACCATATCTTCGATCTAGAAAGGGAAGTTAGCAGCGGTTACAAGGACGACGAACAGGGCGACAACAACAATGGTGCCGATTCATAGGAGGCACTCTACAATGATCCATATTGCACCTGCTCTAACCACAAGAACAAGGGGCCTCCGCTGCCACCCCCGCCACCACCACCACCAACAATGGGAGGCTACTATGGAGAAGGTGCAATACAATTTGCTATGTGGCCATACTACTAGGACGACCCTATCTTATTGACATGGCACATCCATGTGTTTGTTGTTTGGTTTAATTACTTAAGGCATGTTAGGTTTAGTCGAAGGAACTCTGTACCCTAGTTCGGTACACGTTCTCATATGCCATTTCATATGTTTTGTGTGTTGAATTATATAATGCCCTACTTCGTTAGGTTTTGTTTGCAGCATGTGATCACATTTCACTACATTCGTAATATTATACTGAATATTATGACCATAAATAATGAAAACAACTACATAATAAAAAGTCCAATACTATGCCACATTAAACAACATAATAATACTAGAAGTACGTGCCGACAATAGACAACATTGTTCATGAATAAACCAAAGAACTAGCAAGTTATGGAGACTACTAAGTTCAATGAGGCCACTTTCCCTTTCTCAGGGCATCGGGATTCTCCTCCATCGCTGCTTTCGCTCGGCATGCACGCTCAAGCTTCTTCTCCCTCTCCTCCCTGTACGCAGCAACACGCCTCCTTTCCTCCTCTTCCTTGTGCTCCTTTTTTGTAGCCTCCTCTCCACGTCTCTTCTCCATCATCTCCTTGTCCTCTGCCTCCCACCGCAACAGTTCTGCATCCATTCCTTGTCTTCAGGCTTGATCTCAGTGTTGATCCACTGCTCAAAATCACAGAGTGGTGGAGGGGTCTAAAAATACAATTGTTACAAAACAAAAAAATCATACAAGATGTCATATGATACAAACATTAATTCCTCACCATCTTGTTAATGCGACGCTGACGAAGTGTAGGCTCAAACGCAAAATTGGAACACATCTAATATCTCTGCCTATACGTGTCCTCTTCATCAGACTTGGCTACCTTACAAGGATCGTCGCACAAGCACATGGGCACTGGAACACCACTAGGCAGAGGTAATGGGTCTAAGGCACTTCCGATCATCTGGCCATAACTACAATTCAATCAATTTCGTTCTAAGAACCGAAAGCAATTAAGATTAAACCCTAAACCTAAGGTTTCCCATTTGATGCACAATAATGAACCCATAACATAACAACATGCGCCGAGGTTACCTTGGTTTGGTAGCTTTTCCACGCCTTGGCATCCTACGGTTGTATAATACAAATATTAAAAATTACATGAAACCCTAAGTAATGATGATTCTTAGGTTGAAAAAACTGACTAATATATACCGAATCGATGCGAAAAAAACTAGGAGGGGAGCGAGGATACCTTGCTCTCAAAGATCTACGGATCAAATCAAACTTTCCAAGGTCCAATATGCCGATTCGTGAGGTAGGGCGAAGTGGGAGAGAAAAAACCCCAAGAGGGAGGAGAAAGAAGAGGAAGAAGGCTGGGGGTAGGAAGGTTGGGGGCGGGTTAAAACACCACCTCGGCGCCATAGATATTGGCGCCATGCTCGGCGTCAGGATCTCACGGCCCCAAGCTCGGCGCCCGGGATCTACTGGCCGAGCCGCCTACCAAGTCACCGCCACGTCTGCGTCGAGCCCAAGACCTAGGCGCTAGAATCTATGGCGCCGAGAATTGTAAGCTCGGTGCCACCAACGATGGCGCCGAACTAAGGGTCCAGATTTTGATATCATATCTCTAGGGGCATATTTGTGATTTTTTAAAAAGACTACAAAATAAAAAGTCCGATTGAAACCGCGATTGCTTGGTTTCACCGGTTCTGTTTCGCCTTCCGTCTACTCAGTCTTCCTCCTTTCCAACTCAGGAGGTCATCCTCGAGCGACGTCCCAGAGACTCCTCCTTGCACATGGGACTCCTGGTGGCACGGGTGAAGCTACGAGGGAGCTCCTCCCTCATGTGGATGCGCAGGCGAGGGAGCTCCTCCCTAGCTGTGGGGATGCGAGCACGGACGAGGGAGCTCCTCCCCGGCGGCGCAAGTGCGAGGGAACACCTCCCTGTTACGGGCTATAGGTGTGCTAGGAAGAAGATGGAGTGGGGCCTGCTAACGGATGGATAACACATGGAATCCGAATCAGTTAAGTCAACCAAACGGTTCCAATAAGTGAATTTGTTTTTGCAAGAAACATTTTTTTGAAGAATCTAGATCCGAAATGTTTATACGAGAATCTGGATCCCTGTCATAATGAACCTTATTAAAAGCAGTCTAATTCATCCAGAATGGTTTAGTTTGCGAAAGGCATGTAGCATAATAGTTAGAAGAGCCTTGGTAGCACCTTAGGTCCTGGGTTCGATTCGACTCCCCATGGAAGCTAATATTGTATGATTTAACGACATTGTGATTTCAACGGTAGACGATGTTTCCGTCGAGCCTATGGTAATTTTGTCAATCTTGAAGATTTGTCGACTTGTTATACTATGTAACTAAAAAGAAGAATAAGATTGATTTAGTTTTTTCCCCAGCTTGGTGGCTTTTAAAAATTCAATGTTGAATTAGACGGATACAACATAGCTTTCACAAACAAATTTTAGTAATACGAAATTTTGTCTATTTTGCTGGGTACCGAAAAAACATATCGAGTCAATGTTTTTTCGGTAATGATATATGTCGGGCGTCCAACCCTTCACTTCACCTCCGGACGTGGCTTGCTCTCCTCTACTTGCTCGCGGTTTATCCTTATTCGCTTGCCCCACGTCGCTCAGCCCGCTCCATACGATGCGCCCCCGCTCGGGTAGCAACGAGACGCTCGCTGCTGCTCCCTCACGAGCTGCTCGCGGCGCTGCCCCGCCCGAGCCGTGTGCCCCCGCTCGCGGTAGCATCGAGCTCCTCGCCGGTGCCGCCCCCACCTAGGTCGCCAGCGCACCCCTCCCGAGCTGCTCGCGTGGCGCCCCCCCCGCCCGAACCGCTCCTTCTCCGACGCCGACATCCTTGTCCATGGCGGCTCCTTCCCGCACCTCGGCATCCCTCCTCCCCCATCCTGGTGGCACCCCTCCCTCCTCCCCCACAAGGAGCTCCGAACGCCTGCAGATCCGGCGGCCATGGCACTCCCCACGCCAGGCTCTCTTCTCTTCCCCCATGTTGTAATTGTGTCTTTCAATTGTTTCATAAGCTTTAGAGGTATGTTGCAGTAGAATCATATGGTTGATTGTAAAAGTAGATCTGGCATGTTGCACTTTTGTTGATATGTTGCAAGTGTTTGAAAGGATTGTTGCAAGCACTTTGTTCAAAATGTTTCGTCTGTTTTTACACGATGTTGCAATCATTTCTGATCTGGATGTTTTTATATGGTTCACTCAATTGTTGCAATAATACTTTCCAAATTGTTTCAGTTGTAGCGGTTGTTCCGTGTTGTTGCAATAATATGTTCATGGTGTTTCAGCTGCTTCAGCCTAATGTTGCAACAGTTGTTCCGTGTTGTTGCAATAATATGTTCATGGTGTTTTAACTGCTTGAGCCTAATGTTGCAGTAGTTGTTCCGTGTTGTTGCACGTGTTTTATTCCAGCTTTCAGTTGCAACGGTTGTTCCGTGTTGTTGTAATAATATGTTCATGGTGTTCAAATTGCTTGACCTAATGTTGTAGCAGATTGTTCCGTGTTGTTGGAATAATATGTTCATGATATTTCATTTGCTTGAGTCTAATGTTGCGATAGTTGTTCCGTGTTGTTGCACGTGTTTTATTTTAGCTTTCTATATTGTTGTGGCGGCGGAGGAGGGGGGGGGGACCAGGCGGGGGGGCGTGGCTCACCGGAGAGATAGCTGATGGAGGTGTTGGAGGTCAATGGATGGAGATGCTGTGGTCAGGGGCGGGGGGCATGCTCGTCGCGCAAATGGGGCGCTATGAAAGGCGGACGCGGCGACCTGTCGGGCTGCGGGGACGAGCTAGGGGCTCGTGGGGCGCGAGCGGCAAGTGTGGAGGAAACGAGCGCAGATCAAGACATAGCAGGTGCGCGCGATCAGGCGTAACTGCCTCGAGCGTCTGGACGCTGACAGTTCCGATGTTTTTTATCCAAGTTTGGCCCGCGCCCAAATTCCGCGGTCCAAGTGGCGCGAAACTTTAATTCCCGCTGGCCAGCCCACCGTACAACCCCACCGGACCCTAAATCCTCAACAGTATCTCGATTTCCAAATTCCCCAAATCCAACAGACTCCATCAGTCCAGCGCCAGCCGCCGCCGCCACCTCGAACACCCGTGAGCCGCCGCCGCCAGCGTCGGTCTGCCCTGCCTCCCGTGCGCGCGCCGCCTACGCCGCGCGGCCGCGCCGTCGCCCTGCCTGGCCGCCTCCCGCCGACACCGGTCCGCATCCGCATTCCTGCCAGCGCCGGGCGGCCACGCGCCCACGCCACTAGTCACGGGACGTCTCCCGCTGCCGCCGGCCCGCCTCCCACCATCGTCGCGCCGCTGCAGTCGAGCAGAGGCGTGAAGCTAGCAAGCGGTCATCGATCATCGTTCTCTCTTTACTAATTACTCCATAGTCCCAGCAACACATGGTTCTTTGTTCCTTCATTCTTCACTGCTCGGCTGCTCGGAGCTCCAAGCGTCGGCCATGCTTCGTCTGTAGACCCACCGATGACCGTAATAGTAGCACTGAGATGCAGTAGTGTCCTACACTCCTCTACCGGCGACCCCGTCCAGCTACTGTAAACATGAGTGCCAGCATTTTAGATTCCTGCAGTTTCACGCATCAGTTCAAACTCAACTATTTGGAGACGGAGAACGTCGCCATCGGGCACCCAGTCAGCTCCGAGGACATCTCCGCTGGTGGGCACCTCTGGAGGATCAGCTGCTACCCGCGTGGGTGCAGGGAACAGGAAAAGGGTGAGTGGTTATCTATCTCCCTCAAGCAAATCCAAAGATGCCATAGCTATTTTTCAGGCCTTCGTCATGAACAAAGACAGTACTCCATCTTCATCCGATAGAATCAGGTTGGTGCGCGTTTTCCCACCAAGGGGCACCGGCAGCGGCGTGGCATGACCTTGCTTTGTGAAGCAAAGCGTCCTCGAGTCGCACTATGTGACTAGTGGCTCGTTCGTCATTATGTGCGTGGTCAAAGTTGAGCAGGAGGACGAACTCCTCGAGTTGCCGCCCTCAGACATTGGCAGCCATCTCGGTCTCCTGCTGGATTGCATGAACGGCTCTGATGTCTCGTTCATCGTCGACGGTGAGAAGTTCCCTGCTCACCGGGCTGTTCTTGCCGCCCGCTCGCTGGTCTTCAAGGCGCAGCTCCTGGGCTCCATGGCGGATGCCAAGATGCCATCCATCACCTTGCATGACATCGCGCCGGCGACCTTCAAAGTCATGCTCCGCTTCATGTACACCGATGCTTGTCCTGCGGATTCTGAGCTTGGGAACTCTCCGGATGAGATGTTTCGGTGCTTGCTAGCTGCAGCGGACCGGTTCCCGTTGGATCGCTTCAAGATTTTGTGTGCTGTAAAGCTGTGGGATAATATATCAGCGGACACAGTGGTTGCCACTTTGATCTGTGCTGAAACATACAACTGCCCACAGCTGAAAAAGAAGTGCATTGACTTCATTGCGGAGGAAAAGAACTTCAAGAAGGTTGTGTTGACAGATGGTTTTGTTCAGCTGGCGCAACAATTCCCATCCATTCTTGATGAGCTGAGGGAGAAGGTTGGAGCATAGAAGCAACACGCATGTATACATGTGTGGGGGATATAACCCTGTGTACCTGACGACAAGAGACATGGGTCGCACCAACAGGGTAGGTCCAGCCCATAAGTAGAAGGCGGCGTGTGACGCAAGACACCGATCGGCGTGCATCATACAGGGAGAGAGCTCTTCATGGTTAGCCATGATAGTGTTGCTATCGATGGAGAGACCAGTGTCGGTGGCTGTTAACATGAAACCAGGAACACCGATCGCCAACGGCGTCGCAATGAAGAAGCGAAGATGTCGTCCAAGCTGCTGGAGGTTACCCACCATCTCTCGCTCGTAATCTCCAACAGGAGTTCCTCATGGTGGACAACCAGCAAGTGGAGCAGACGCCGAGCGCCAATCTGGTTGTGGCCACCCACGAGTTGGCTCGACTCGCCAACAACACGGAGGTACGCGAAGATTGAAGCGCCGCTTAAAGCGGCCAGTCCAAGTCAACGACATCCGGAACCCAGCTCCGTCTTATTCGATAGTGACCGACGCAACGATCGTAACCCCGTAGTTTTCGCCGTGATGGGGGGAGTCGTTACCATAGCGGCCAGATCGTCCAAGGGGGTCCAGGGGCAATGTCGCCATGAATCCTGGATCACAAGGACCACGAAATCAGCATGTCCGACCAGCTCGTAACGCCAACCAGGAGGTTAATCAACCCCTGCGCGGTGACGCCCGTGACCGCATCAACGCCAATCTCGATGTCCACAATCGTATCGAGAACAGTCATGCCCAACGACATTAGGCAAAACTCCAACGCTGATAGGAGTACGACAACCAACACGGCGACCCTATCGGCCTCCGACCACTCCCTGCTATCGAGCCAATAGGACCTCGCCCCTTCATAGCAAGGATGCGAGCTGTACAGTGGCCTGCAGGTTTTAAGATCTTTGGGGTCGATCCCTACGATGGCAACGCTAATCCCAAGCAGTGGATGTAGCTCTACGAGATCACCATACGTGCCGCATGGGGAAGCAACGATGTAATGGCAAATTATTTGCCTGTCATGCTCTCCCAATCTACCAACAATTGGCTTATGGGCTTAAGGGTGGACTCCATCGAATCTTGGGATGATCTCAAGAAAATCTTCGTCAAGAATTACATGGCAACGTGCTAGCAGCCTGGTATGAATATATGATCTAGGGAAACTCCATCACACCTCTGGGGAACCTCTGCTGGCTACATCAGCGTTTCTTGAAATAAGGAACACCATCCCCAACATGGGGGACAGCGAGGCCATCTCCGCTTTCACTAGAGGACTCCATCACCATCGGGAGCTGCGCTCCAAACTTTACCGCAAGGGGCCCTAGACCATCGACGAACTCCTCATGGTTGCAAACTCATACGCAGATTAGAAGAAAGCGATCGGTAGTTCAGGACGATGTTGCTCGTGCTTTCGCCGTGATCGCCACCCACGTCGTGATGATGATCACCGCGAAGAACGGTGTTACGATGATTGTGACAAAGCGTTACGACGATCGTGAACACCGGCATAATGATTAGCCGAGAGGATTGAGGATCTGCGACCATATCATGCCGCCCGACCGGAAAACTTCATCAACAACGAGAGAGCACCCGCGCGCTAAGTGCAATTTTAATGTCGCCTACAAAAAGCTCCTTGGCCAGATGCGTGCCCAATTCACAAGAACAAAGCAAACACACCATGCAAAGCAATGCTATGGCATGGCCAAAGCTTTCCGCGATGAATAGCGAAACGGCGGATGTGCAAGGACTACGAGTTCGATGATGGCAAGGAGGAGGAACGTCCTAAGGATGCACGACTTGCTTTCCAAGATGCCAACAAGACGGTCGCCACAATCTTCAGAGGATGCGCTGTGTGTGAGAGAAAGCAAGCCAATGAAAACTCTCATCTTTCGGCGGGTCATGTCTATGACCAAGTATGACACGGTCGAAGGGTCGAGATGGCGGACTAGAGGGGGGTGAATAGTCTTTTATAAAATTAATCGCGTCGGCTAACCGATATAAATGCGGAATAAAAACAATCGGTCTAGCCAAGACTACACCCCTCTATATATGTTCACTAGCACCTTGCAAAGATACTAATTATGCAACTAAGGTGTCAGGCTAGCTAGAGCTCTCCTAAACAATTCTAGGAGCAAGGTCACTCAAACCTATGCCACTAGTACTTTAAGCAACAAGGAAGCTCCTACACATGCTAGTAAGCAAAAGCACAAAGCCAACTAAGCTCACTAGCAAAGCTCAATAACAAGGCAACCAATGCCTAATTAGAGAGCGCAAATACTTAGCTACACAAACTAAGCAATGTGACTAACAAGGTTACTAAAACCAAATTAGCCACGCAAGGGAGCTACTTCTATGCTACACAAGCAAGAAGATAATTAGCAAGCTACACAAGCTATCTAATTACAAGAGCAACTACACAAGCTTAATATGTATAAAAGTAATTGCAAGCTTGTGTAATGGGGATGCAAACCAACGGGAAGAACAAGGTTGACACGATGATTTTTCTCCCGAGGTTCACGTGTTTGCCAACACGCTAGTCCCCGTTGTGTCGACCGCTCACTTGGTGGTTCGGTTGGCTAATTAGCATCACCTGCGCTAAGCCCGCACGTCGGGCACCGCAAGAACCTACCCCTTGAGTGAGGGTAGCTCAATGACACGCTTTACTAGAGTTGCTCTTCGCGGCTCCCGCGTGGTGAGCACAATGCCCCTCACAAGCACTTCTCCGGAGCGCCGCACAAGCTTCTTGCGCGCTTCGACGGAGACCACCACCAAGCCGTCTAGGAGGTGGCAACCTCCAAGAGTAACAAGCACCACCGGCTTGCAACACGACCACCTAGTGCCACTCGATGCAACCTCACGATGCAATCGCACTAGAATCGCTCACTCACACAATCGAATGATCACTATCAAGTATATGTGTGATGGAGGGCTCCCAAGCACTCACAAGCATGGACACTAAGTCCCTTGAGGTGCTCAGCACCAGCCATGGCCGAGGGCCACTTCTATTTATAGCCCCAAGGGCTAAACTAGCCGTTACCCCTTCATCGGGCAGCGGTCGGGCCGACCGGACGCTCCGGTCGTGTTGACCGGACGCTGGACCTCGGCGTCCGTTCGCCGCAGACAACCACGTGTCCGGTTCCAACGGTCACTTGACTTGACCGGACGCAGCAACTTTCAAGCGACCGGACGCTGAACCCCAGTCGTCCGGTCGTTTCAATAAGAGTACCGACCTCGGACGGGACGCGTCCGGTCACACTTGATCGAATACGTACCAAAGATCCGGTCACACTCTAACCTGCGTCGCCATCGTCGTCACTGACCGGACGCAGCCCGCCAGCGTCCGGTGCATTCAGATCAGTCGGTCCGGTTGACCGACGCCAACATCTTCGCGACTAACTCGTTTTCACTTCTAACTTCATCACCCTTGCTCCAATGTGCTAACCACAAGAACTTGCATCCGGCGCAATAGAAAATAGGCATTCTATTTTCCGAGAGAGGGACCCAAACCCATCTCACCCCTGCAAACATCACCTCCTTTGTAAATGTGCCAACACCACCAAGTGTACACCACCATGTGTATGTGTGTTAGCATTTTCACAATCATTTCCCAAAGGATGTTAGCCACTCAACTTGCCACGCCACTCGATCCTAGCGACAATGCAAAGTTAGATCACTCGAGTGGCACTAGATGACCGATATGCAAACAAGTTTGCCCCTCTTGATAGTACGGCCATCTATCCTAAACCCGGTCATAAACTTCTCTACACACCTATGACCGGTGAAATGAAATGCCCTAGGTTATACCTTTGCCTTTGCGCATTCCATTCCATCTCCTTCAATGTCGATGCAACACATGCACCAACACGATCAACAATGATATGATCCACTTCATATCATCACATGATCATATTGGTTCATCGATCTTGACTCTACTTGCTCTTCACCGTTGCTATCGTCCATCGGCGCCAAGTCTTGCTCAAGCTTCACCGCCACGCCGGTCCATCACTCCAAAGCCTTTGACTTGCCCTTCACGCTTGCAACCGGTCCATCAAGCCAAGTCTTGTCTTGATCTTCTCCACCTTGATCACATGACTCAATATCATGTCTCATGTGCAATAAGCTCCTTCATCATCATATGTGTGAGCTTTTCAACATCTCCAAGCCATTTTCACCTCCATGGCATATGTTGCTCATACACATGTACCGTGGACTAATCACCGTGTATCTCACATAAACACAATTAGTCCACCTAGGTTGTCACTCAATTACCAAAACCAACAAGGACCTTTCAATCTCCCCTTTTTGGTAATTGATGACAACTCTACAATGATATGGAAATTAAGCTCTTTTGGATTCATGTTGCTTGCCCAAGCAATTTTACCATGTGAAAATGATTTTGGACAAGTACCACAAACCCAAAATGGTAATATTAGCTCCCCCTACATATGTGCTAGTGTATTTAATTTGAAGCTTGCACATATGCATAGATTGAAATTGTGGGAGAGTAAATACTACAAAATGATGCTAAGGTGTATAGAATAAACCTTTGAAGTGTGTACCAATCGTAGTTGCACCTTTAAGTTCATCCTTAGCACCATGGTTAGCTAGATATCACTTGGAAATAAAAGCACTAGATACCTCATGAGATCAACATCAAGGTACTAGCATTACTTAAAGAATATACCAAGTGTCTAGCTATCATCCTATGCATGCTAGTTATCAAATCATCATTCAAGTTCTATAACTAGCATACACCACACAAGCATGCATATTGAATTTGAAAACTTATGCAATGCAAGCAAGCACATGATTATGCACATATCAAATGCAATCAATCAAAGTTTATGAGCTTGCTCCCCCTACTTGTGTGCTTCTCTTGTCTAAGAATTTTGATCCATCTCTTTTCTTCAATGTTGCTCCCTCTTTGTCCATGTCCAACCTCTATTTCTTTTATATCTCATCTCTCCATGTCCAATTTCTCCCCCATTCAATCA